CAAATATTATTTTTTTGGCATAGAATTCACCACTAGTCCTATTTAAATATTATTAAATTTATTAAATAATAATAATTAATAAACTATTTTATTTTATTAAAAGTATTTAAAATATAATCTATCTTATACTCAAGCTTAGGTATATATTAATTTATACACTGTTAAACAAACTCTTCACATTAAATTAGTTAAAATATTTGATTTTACTATAAAATTTCACATCTGTGCCATTTAGGCCAATCCTCACTTCAGTTTCAGCAATTGATAACTATTGAGTCAGGGCTGATAACTTTAATATGCAAAATAACAGATTACATGTTGGATATGATTCCTACCTAAGCTATACTATAAGGCTAAACGAATAACAACTCGTAATGATATATCAAGAGCATGGCTAAAGCATTCGCCATTCTAAAGTTTCACGCCTTAGTGTATGAGTAACATATGAATTGTCTGGAAAGCTTTCTCGTTGATAGACTATGTTCCCATGTAAAGTGGACAATATTTTAGCGCTTCGTGTAGTGCCTGCTCCTAAGTAATTTATACTCTACTATATAAAGCATAAGGGCATATCATAAAGGGTCTAGACTGCCTGAATAAGTTCCAAGCTGCCTAGTTTCTTTCCGAGATAAATCTTTTAGCCTGATTTTTTATTAACTTTTAACTCCACGGAGTAACAAAAGAGTTAAAATCTTTGAACCTTAAAGTATCCCTATTCTATAAATTATAAACCGTACTACTCTAGAGATTTAATGTCTGCCAAACTAGTCGCAGCCAATACAGAGATTGGATTAAAGCTTCAATTAGTTTCATTCCAATGCCACTATTAAGTGTGAACCTCAATATTAATCAGACATCGATGATACTATTAGCCCTTAATTTCAGATTTTGTCGTATTTCAATAAGAATGAATTTATAAATAATTTAGCTTATAGATTCACCATCAATATGTACAATTTAATAATTTTAATCCCTACCAAACTCCTGTTAAAATTAAAGCAACCTACTTGTTTATGATATAATTTTAAAACTTTCATACTATTATATTTCCAAAACACTTACATCCTCTCAAAGTTAAAGTGCAATCATGTTTAAAGGAGTCAACTTCAGTGAATATTTACAGTTCCAAAATTTGTTGTGCTAATCTTTGTTACATTTAATATAGTACTCAAAGAGATTAATCCTAAATTGCTAATGATATTTAAAAAACAATATATCGTTTCTTAGCAACTCATTCCACAGAAACTATTAAATCGTATCGATTCTGCATACTAAGAAATATTTACTTGACTAAAATTGATAAGCAATATTTTCTATAACAGGGACATATAAACTATTTTTATTTGTAAAGAAACTTAAAGTCCAGATTGTGTCATATTTTAACAAGAAGGAATTTATAATTAGTTTAGCCTATAGATACTCTATTAATTTTTCCAAACCATACTATGCATCCCTACCAAACTCATGCTGAAATTAAGGGAACTTTCTTGTCTGTAATACAACTTCAAAATGATCATTTTATTATCTTTACAAAATACCAATTTCCTTTATAAGTTAAGATAAGATTGTTCGTTGATTTATCTTCCGGATTCGCGCTAATCAAGGATAGAGTCGTTGTATGAAACAAGTTATTTGTATCTGTAATAATGGGAGTCTTTCTGAAATAAGATGAGGTCCTTTAAATGTTAAAGACCTCTGCATGACTTTACCATTCTTTTATCTTTCTATATTTATTTTAAATTCGGTTATAGACTTCACATTTTTAAGGGACAACGTTAACTCTTCACTACATCATGCAGTCAAAAACTTATTCTATAATATTATACCTTTGAGTGATACCACTGACTAGATAACTTTAAATTCACACTATTTATTTTTACCACGCCCCCAGATACCAGAGCTCAACAATGAAGTTTTTTTATAAATGTCATTCAAGTGTGAAAATCAATTGACAGATAATTTCTTGTGAGGTGGCCCATTTCATTGCCTGACTTAACTATCTTTGATGATGGTCAGGAGACAGATTTCGCTATTTGAAATGGGAAAAGAATGACGGTTCGCCATTAGCCTACTTTTTGCGCATACTTTCAAACCATCCTCCAGAGATTGGGTAATGAATAAAGGGCAGAGAAAGTGGGGCAAAGCGAAAGGCAGTAAGATTGGCCATTGACTAGGTGACCAGTGATAAGGAGAGTGTGTGGGAGAAAATATCGAGCTGGGACTGGCACTACTGGATGATAAGAGCTAAATTATTGGAGAGCAAGCAGTTATCACGAGTGATTAGCATAGAATCTTTTAAAAGTGTCACTGGGTAAATGGCGACTGTAACCCAGTTGACGTTAGTTTGAGAGTGAGAATGATGGCTTACTTCAGATAGAAGCTTGACCTTTCTGTTGCATTACTGAAGGTACTTTCTTCAGAAGGAATCTGTGAGGTTTGTTGATCAGCTCGTAAGCGTCGGCATGAGCCCATGTCGCAAGCAGTTCGGACATTCCATCCCAACGTCGGTAATAACGTCTGATCAAGAAGTATACCAACTTTATGCCGCACACAGCTGACATTAGTCTGCCGATTTGATAGCAATATACATACAAACTGTATCAAGCTGCTTGCTCAACAGTAAGCTACAACACAAGGTGGATGCCGTCCCTGTAGACAGTCACGAATTCAAGTAGGCTACATCACTTTTCTTGTGTCTGAAGACGTGCGCCAGCTTCAGCCAACCTACATATTCTGGCCTTTACCATTCACCCTATCTCGCTACTTTTTCTCCATAAAGATCTGATCTTTTTCCTCCCAGGGCTTGGCAGTAGTGCTTTTCAGGGAATGCAAATAGCCACAGACACGATCACACATTTAACCACTCCCTATAAAGCCCCATGCTACTGATGGGAATGCTGCAACCCTCTTTGGATTTAGCCGAATGTGCCTGTGGTGTCGGTTCTTTGCTCAATTCTGCGGGTGCCTTCGTACAGTCCATCTTTTTTTCACCCCTCGCTCGCTGTGTCCTTAATGGCCTACACTGAACATGATCAGCGACAATTTTAGTGGTATATATCTGGAGGCTGTCATCTCGACTTGAAATGCACCGTTATTGCGTTGGACGACTTTCGCCAATTCATGTACATCTTCTCACGAACTGTTGAGGCGACAAGGCTTGACGACACTCCATAAAACGTCATGGGACTTTCACAGTTTTAGTTCGTCCATCTATGCGTTGTTTTTCCACGATGGAGAGATATTATCCAAACTACTTCTCATACACACAATCGTACTACGAGCCTCTGGATCCGAATGGGCTGTCACAGTCAATTTACGGCTACGACGGTATTGCATCCGACTCGGAGGCTGGCCTCAAACTTGAACGAGGAACAGAAGGTAGGACACGAGAACAACAGATAGCCTCACATCGAACAGATTCTGATGCCAGCTTATATATTCGGAAAGATCGAGTTTGGATGAGAGGTTGGGCGACGAAAAAACCCGCCTCAGTCGATTTGATGCCCGTCGAACATTCTAGCTCGGATTCAGAGGGTCATCAAAGAAGTGTCCGAGGCGTTTTAGCAAGATCGCCAAAAAGCCAGCAGGACTTTGAAGGGACCGCTTACAATTCACCATTTGGCGCCCAGAGCACGTTAAGACCGGAGAGAGTTGCAGAATCGAACTACAACGCGGAGAAGAAGTCGCAGATCCCCAAGCCCATGAAGTATCCGCTGGAGTCAGAGACCTCAACCTCGGGGAACCTACGTGGTGGCAACCTACCAACTTGGAAAGGCCGTTCTCGAACTGGTCCAGTGGAATACGTCAACGACCCATCTTCTCTCCCTACAGGTATGCATAAGTCGAGCTCTTGTCGCAAGACCGATTCGAAGGGAATCTCGCATTCTAGGTTGTTTCGCGAGCCACATACAGGCCTTGACAACAAATTTAAGTCTTCGGTTAAAAAGCCTTTGGACCCAAATTTAAGTTTACTAAAGCTGCAGCACAATAATCATCTTCACCAACAACAGCATCTCTCCAATTCTGAAAAGCAAAGCCTCCATCGCCAAGGAAGGAGCCTGAAGATTCTCACGATGCCAGAATCGAGGGAGTTAAAAATGCAAAACT